TCTTCTTCCCCCATCCCAGCTGCTCTCTCCAACAGACTTCTTCTCCCTCCATCCCAGCTGCTCTCTCCAGCAGACTTCTTCTCCCTCCATCCCAGCTGCTCTCTCCAACAGACTTCTCCCCCCATCCCAGCTGCTCTCTCCAGCAGACTTCTCCCTCCATCCCAGCTACTCTCTCCAGCAGACTTCTTCTCCCTCCATCCCAGCTGGTCTCTCCAGCAGACTTCTTCTCCCTCCATCACAGCTGCTCTCTCCAGCAGACTTCTCCCCCCATCCTAGCTGCTCTCTCCAGCAGACTTCTCCCTTCATCCCAGCTGCTCTCTCCAGCAGACTTCTTCTCCCTCCATTCCAGCTGCTCTCTCCAGCAGACGTCTCCCCCCATCCCAGCTGCTCTCTCCAGCAGACTTCTCCCTCCATCCCAGGTGCTCTCTCCAGCAGACTTCTCCCCCCATCCCAGCTGCTCTCTCCAGCAGACTTCCCCCTCCATCCCAGCTGCTCTCTCCAGCAGACTTCTTCTCCCCCCATCCCAGCTGCTCTCTCCAGCAGACTTCTCCCTCCATCCCAGCTGCTCTCTCCAGCAGACTTCTCCCCCCATCCCAGCTGCTCTCTCCAGCAGACTTCTCCCTCCATCCCAGCTGCTCTCTCCAGCAGACTTCTTCTCCCTCCATCCCAGCTGCTCTCTCCAGCAGACTTCTTCTCCACCATCCCAGCTGCTCTCTCCAGCAGACTTCTTCTCCACCATCCCAGCTGCTCTCTCCAGCAGACTTCTTCTCCACCATCCCAGCTGCTCTCTCCAGCAGACTTCTTCTCCCTCCATCCCAGCTGCTCTCTCCAGCAGACTTCTTCTCCCTCCATTACAGCTGCTCTCTCCAGCAGACTTCTTCTCCACCATCCCAGCTGCTCTCTCCAGCAGACTTCTTCTCCCTCCATCCCAGCTGCTCTCTCCAGCAGACTTCTTCTCCCTCCATTACAGCTGCTCTCTCCAGCTGACTTCTTCTCCACCATCCCAGCTGCTCTCTCCAGCAGACTTCTTCTCCCTCCATCCCAGCTGCTCTCTCCAACAGACTTCTTCTCCCCCCATCCCAGCTGCTCTCTCCAGCAGACTTCTCCCTCCATCCCAGCTGCTCTCTCCAGCAGACTTCTCCCCCCATCCCAGCTGCTCTCTCCAGCAGACTTCTCCCTCCATCCCAGCTGCTCTCTCCAGCAGACTTCTTCTCCCTCCATCCCAGCTGCTCTCTCCAGCAGACTTCTTCTCCACCATCCCAGCTGCTCTCTCCAGCAGACTTCTCCCTCCATCCCAGCTGCTCTCTCCAGCAGACTTCTCCCTCCATCCCAACTGCTCTCTCCAGCAGACTTCTCCCTCCATCCCAGCTGCTCTCTCCAGCAGACTTCTTCTCCCCCATCCCATCTGCTCTCTCCAGGAGACTTCTCCCTCCATCCCAGCTGCTCTCTCCAGCAGACTTCTCCCTCCATCCCAGCTGCTCTCTCCAGCAGACTTCTCCCTCCATCCCAGCTGCTCTCTCCAGCAGACTTCTCCCTCCATCCCAGCTGCTCTCTCCAGCAGACTTCTTCTCCCTCCATCCCAGCTGCTCTCTCCAGCAGACTTCTTCTCCCTCCATCCCAGCTGCTCTCTCCAGCAGACTTCTTCTCCCTCCATCCCAGCTGCTCTCTCCAGCAGACTTCTTCTCCCTCTATCCCAGCTGCTCTCTCCAGCAGACTTCTTCTCCACCATCCCAGCTGCTCTCTCCAGCAGACTTCTCCCTCCATCCCAGCTGCTCTCTCCATCAGACTTCTTCTCCCTCCATCCCTGCTGCTCTCTCCAGGAGACTTCTCCCTCCATCCCAGCTACTCTCTCCAGCAGACTTCTTCTCCCTCCATCCCAGCTGCTCTCTCCAGCAGACTTCTTCTCCACCATCCCAGCTGCTCTCTCCAGCAGACTTCTCCCTCCATCCCAGCTGCTCTCTCCATCAGACTTCTTCTCCCTCCATCCCTGCTGCTCTCTCCAGGAGACTTCTCCCTCCAACCAGCTGCTGTCTCCAGCAGACTTCTCCCTCCATCCCAGCTGCTCTCTCCAGCAGACTTCTTCTCCCCCCATCCCAGCTGCTCTCTCCAGGAGACTTCTCCCCCCATCCCAGCTGCTCTCTCCAGCAGACTTCTCCCTCCATCCCAGCTGCTCTCTCCATCAGACTTCTTCTCCCTCCATCCCTGCTGCTCTCTCCAGGAGACTTCTCCCTCCAACCAGCTGCTGTCTCCAGCAGACTTCTCCCTCCATCCTAGCTGCTCTCTCCAACAGACTTCTTCTCCTTCCATCCCAGCTGCTCTCTCCAGCAGACTTCTCACTCCAGCCGACTAGCTGGTCAGTAACCCACTTTTACACCATTTAGACACTGAAGGCTTGGTGCCAACAGTGACATCAATCATACTGGCTACTGAAGGGCACAGTGTGCCTTGTGTCCTTGCACCTGCTCATGGTATCTTGGCCTGATGAGGATTCCCAGGCTCAGAGTCCTTGGACATCCGTTTAGGCACACGCCCAGCGCAGCCTGTGGCCATCCTGGTGTGTTGATAACATGGCCTCTGTGCTCCCACCGGCCTTGGCTGTCCAGGGACCTGGCGTGGTTCCCAATGAGCACTATGAAAGCGGGTTCTGTGTGAGGTGCTGGGATTATCAAACACCTGAGGCAGCAGGCAGAGCCCCGCCCACAGCCACTCCTGTCCATATGTGCATGTAGCGTGGCCTTTCCAGCTCAGAGCCCCTCTTCCTCCTCTGTCAGATAAAGGCAGAAACAGCACCTTCACAGAGGAGTGTGTGGTGCCCCAGCAAGGTGAAGCCTGGCCTGGCCGCATGGCTCAGGGGCTGAGCGTCGACCTATGGACCAGGAGGTCAGGGTTCCATTCTGGTCAGGGCACATGCCCGGCGGGCTAGATCCCCAGTGTGGGGCGTGCAGGAGGGAGCCGATCCATGACTCTCTCATCATTGAGGTTTCTTTCTCTCTCTCCCTCTCCCTTCCTCTCTGAAAGCAATAAACATATATTTAAAAAAGAAAGACTGTAAAAAGATTCCGTCCATCCATCTGGAGGTACCAGTGGGAAGGGGAAAGCCAGCCCCCGCTCCTCGACGAGCAGGAGGGACCCACAGCGGGTACACAGGGCCTGGGACTCAGCGTGCAGGTGGGTGGGAGTGTCAGAGAAGGGGGGAGCGGGGGTGCCCCCTAGGAGGAGGCCCAGGGCCCTGCTTTTGGAGCAGAGCTTCCTCTCCCAGCAAGTGCAGCACGGGAGCCAGTCCTGCTCTCGTGCCCAGCAGCGCTGGCACCCGGGCTGAGCCCAACTGACAGAGGCTGGGTGGGCTCTGGCCATGGCCCCACCAGAAGGTGCTAATTGGGCTGATTAATTGAGCCAAAGACCTTGGCTGCTGGGACCATCCAAGGCTGCAGGGCAGGCGCCAGGCCCGCGGCAGGGCCCAGGATGGAGGCCCTGGGTGCCCACTGCAGCCGGCTGAGACCGCCCAGCGCCGCAGGTCCAGGACAGACCCCTGTAGGAGGGTGGGCTGAGGCGGCTGTGGGGACCCCAGGACGGGAGGGGGTGCAGCAGGCTCCGTGAACAGGAAAATGAACCGCCTTCCCCTGCTGCGCCTCCTGCTAATCTTGGAGCCTGGAGGTGCGAGCCTGAGAGCGAGCGGAGTCTTCGCCTGCAGCACCAGCACCGGGTGGGGGCCACGCGAACCCCTCCCCGTGTGGGCGGCGCATCCCGGCGGCCAGTTTACCCATGAGGAAGAAGGGGCTGGGGCGGCCCCACAGGGGGCACCGGGAAACCTCTCCTCTCTGCTGGGGCCAGGCTCCACCCAGGGCCAAGGCAGCTAAGGCCAGCCCCTCGGTCCTCGTGGGGAGGGAGCTGGGAGTCGCCAGCTGGGCAACAAGTCTCCTCCCGGCTGTGCCCCCCCCCTCCCCCCCCCCCCCCCCCCCCCCCGCCCAACACTGGGACTCCCCTCAACTCGCAACCATTTCCCGCCTCCACGCCTGCTCCTTCCCAGCTGTCTCCATGCAGACAGGCCTGATCCTCACTCATTTTTCTTTCTGTTGTTGGTTTTGGGGTGGGGTTTTTTGTGTGTTTTTGTTTGTTTGTTTGTTTTGCAAATGATATGTCTTTACTGGGGTAACAGACAGGACAAAAAAGTGCTTTGTAAAAAAATCAACTTTATTGATATGATTTCCATAAAACAACATGCACTCATTGAATTTAGGTGATGAGTTTTGACAAACATACACCTGTGTACCCACCACCACGTTTCCCTCCTGTTCCTGTCCAGGCAGCCCCGCCCTCCCCCACCTCCCCCTGAGCAATCTGGTTCCTAGCGCTTATTTAGCCTTTCCTAGAATTTCCTACAAACCCACACAGTCCACACTCGTCAGTGTCAGGCTTCTTTCACTCAAAATAGTATTTTCAGGATTCACCCCCATCCCTGGCGCGAGTCCTGCCTAAATCAGACCAATCGCAGGGCCGCGGGCTAGCGCGCCTGTGGCTGCCGGTGGTCACCCCCTCGCACCGCCGGCAGCTGCGCACCCTCCCCGGTGCGTGGGTGCTCGGGTTGTGCCCAGTTTGGGGCTGTTATCAGTAAAGCCGCTATGAGTATTTCATACACGTTGTTTTAGATGTGCGCGTTTTATTCCTTTGGGGGTAAATATGGCAATTGAATAGAATTGCTGGATAAAATAAGTACATGTCACATTTAGTGCATAAGAAACTGCACAACTGGCCATTAGGATGAATTTTGAACTTCTTTAGCCTGACCCTCCCCCCAGGCCCTGGCTCCTCCTCTCCGCCCAGCCCTCAGCTTCTCTCCCCCCCTGCTTACTTCCTGCCAGCCGCTCGGTGGCTGTCCTCAGAGCGCCCACCGCTGACGCAGCACCTGCCACGGGCGGGCGGGCTCCTCTCCCTGGAAGGCGTTACCCACTTTTCTGTTCTACAGCCCTCATCCTTTTTTTTTTTTTAACTTTTTTTTTCAGAGCCAGGAAGAGGAATATCAATCAGCTGCCTCCTGCACGCCCCCTACTGGGGATCAGCCCTGACTGGGAATATCAACTGGCAACCTTTAAGCCATGGGCTGACTCTCAACCTACGGAGCCACACCCCTGCGCTTCAGGCCCCATCTTACTAGTTACTCCTCAGGGGCCTTCCAACCGCCCCTGACCCCAATCTCATGCCTTCGCCAGCTTCCTGTACATTCTCCTCATAACACACAGCACAGTGCTAATTAAATATGATCACGTGTACGTCGTCTACTTTTGTGTCTAATATTCCCCTCCTCGCTGTGAGGGCAGGAATCATCCCCTGTGTGCCTCCCCCGCACCTGAGTGCCTCCCCCGCACCTGAGTGCCTCCCCCGCACCTGAGTGCCTCCCCCGCACCGGTGTGCCTCCCCCGCACGGGTGTGCCTCCCCTGCACCTGAGTGCCTCCCCCGCACCTGAGTGCCTCCCCCGCACCTGTGTGCCTCCCCCGCACGGGTGTGCCTCCCCTGCACGTGTGTGCCTCCCCCGCACCTGAGTGCCTCCCCCGCACCTGTGTGCCTCCCCCGCACCTGTGTGCCACACCCGCACCTGTGTGCCTCGCCCATGCCTGGCTCCGAGGAGCACTCTACTTTCAGGAGAGTCACTGAAGGAGGCTGAGCTCCACAGCCGCGGGTGGGGCTTGCAGACGCTGCTGAGGAACTGGAGCCCAACTCGCAGAGGCCAGCCCCATGGAGGACCCGGTGAGAGAGGAAGGGAGGGCAGCGAAGGCAGGAGAGGAGAGAGGAGGACTCACTGTCGGAGACACGCTGGGGAGAGGAAAGTGCGAGTCAGCAGCCTCGTGGCCTGCCTGTTGTGTGGAGACAAATGCGTCAGCCCCGTGAGCAGGGGTGGCAAGTAGGTGCTCCCGGATCCAGGGAAAAGCACCTGCCTGGGCCTGTGAGCAATAAATAGCGAGAGATTTCTCACGTTCAGAGAAAAGGCACGCTGCCCTGCCCGCACCCCCAGCCTCCGCCACGGCCCCCTGGTCCCCAGCCCCCAGCAGTGGCTGCCCCCCCGCACCCCAGAGGCTGTGTGTAGCTCAGAGGCTGGGAGAGAACAGCTGGAAAGAGTGGTTTCTCTCCCAGAAAGATCACGCAAAGCAAAGGAACCTTCCTTTTCAACAGGCAGAGGGGCTGCATGGCCCGGTCAGGGACCACGGGCTCACTGGCTCGAGCTCCAAGATCCAGGATGAGGCTGGGTGCCCCAGCACCTCGGAGGAGGGAAAAAAAGTCCCGCCCTGGCCGTGTGCTGCGTGGCTGGGCGCCGCCCCGCCACTGAAGGGCTGCCGGTTCCGTCCCGGTCAGGCCAGCCGCGGGCCTCGGCTGCAGGTTCCGGCCCTGGTCATGGCTCAGGAGGCCGCCGAGCGGCGGTTCACGCTCATCCATGCTCTCTCTCCTCCTTCCTCTCCAATATCAGTACCAACAGCTTTGCACACGCACAGGAGAAGCGCTCCTGGCGGCTGGCTGGACCGCACTTTACCCAGCAGAGCCCTCGCCCCATTTCTCCGCGGCCCCTCACCCACACGGCACCCCACGGGAAGCTGCGCTGGCCGCCGGGGCTCCCCCGCTCCGCGCCAGTCCTTAGGAAGCAGCACCCAGAATCCTATTTCCACCAATAGGATGAGGCTTTCCTCATCCAATCAGAGCTGCACAGCGCTGGCCAATCAGAACAGCTCTATTCTAGCCAAGCAGGACAGTGCCTTTGGACCAATCAAACTTTGAGAATTTGGAGTCCTCATTTGCTTAGGGACAGACCAATCAGGGACCAGGGGCAGGGACTTCTCTCTATGCAAGCCAGCTCCTCCCTGGGGGCGCACACCCCTTCCACCCAAGATGGAGGCCGCTGCCTATGCCTGAGCTGTAGCCTTGAGCTGTTCCAGGGCTGTGCTGTGTCATGACTGGGCTGTTTTCACTGAGTCACGTTTTCTTCACTGCACCCCACACTGCACCCCACACTGCACCCCACACTGCACCCCACACTGCAGACTCTTGTTAGCAATGAATTGGCACCAATGACCATCATCGCCTGGGTGCTGCCCACTCCTGGCCACGGGCTGCCCTGCCTGCCACTGAGGGCTCCATCCCTGGCCTGTGTGGGTCACAGGAACATGGCTGGTACCCTCTTGGCAATGCCCATGCCTACCGACAGGAAACTACCTGCCATGGCATCTTGGCTGGCCCAGGGGCACCCCTCAGGTCACCAAGGTGAAGGCTGGCTGCCTGGCCCAGCTCCCCAGCTAGCACACCTGCTCCCTCGGGGTCCTGAGAAGGCAGCACCAGCCGCGCCTCCCCTCCCTGCCTGCTGGGCTCACGCAATGAGATAAAACAGGGACACCCGACCCAGCAGGAGTCGCGTCATTGGCTGACCAACAGCCAATCGGAGACTCCCTCAGAAGACTGGATGGGGGTCCCAGAGCCTGGGAGTCGCGCTGGGGCTGGGGCTGGGGCTGGGGCTCAGGCCGACAGAGCAGCTTAGCGGGGACTGGAGCCACTATGTTAGGAGCCACTATGTTAGGACGCAAGCAAAGAAAGTCGGTCAGAAGGAAAAGGCAGGAAGACGGCGCACAGAGCAGCCCAGATGCGACCAGATGGCATCAAATTAGCAGGAAGGGCAGTCTTCTGGGCTCTGGGTGGCTCTCAACTCTCCCAAGACCTGGGCATTCTGGCTGCAGCCCATGAGACGGTCTTCATGTTTATGATAAATTTCCTGTTCCTGAAGCAAGCCTGGTGGTTTCTGTCAGGCAGTCAGAGAATCTGCCTAGGACCTGACAGAGGTGGAGACGGGACTATGGTCCCTGCGACTCATCAGTAATAGTGCCAAGTCCATGCACACGGGAATCCAGAGAGACAAACACGACATTCACATTGACCGATGTTCTCCTTCGTCCGCTGTCTCCCTTTCTCCTCGCCCTCCCTGTGGCAGGTGCAGCAGCCGCAGGAATGCGTTTGCCCCAGGGCAGATGACTTCCCTCTCAGTCCCCTGGGCCAGGTGAGCAGGAAACGTAGCGGTCACAGAGCAGGTGGCCTCCGTAGGCTGGCCTTGGCCCCGGCGTTGGCCGTGGCCCTGGCGCTGATGGCCGCTGGGATGGAGAACACGAGAATCTGCTTCAGTCCTTCATGGGCCCTCCTGCCCTGAAGCCGTGGGAATTCCTGCAACACGAACAACAGTCACTTTCAGTGCAAGCGCAGCCGAGTGGATTGTGAGTTATTCAACAAACATTCACCGAGCCCTTCCTATGGGCCACGCCCTGAGCTGGGTTCACTTGAAATCAGTGCAACCCCCATCCTCAGAGAGCATGCAGTCCCCGTGGCCGTGTGGGAGGTGGGATCCCCATGGCCGTGTGGGAGGTGGGACTCTGTGGCCGTGTGGGAGGTGGGACCCTGTGGCCGTGTGGGAGGGGGGATCCCTGGGGCCGTGTGGGAGGTGGGACCCCGGGGCCGTGTGGGAGGTGGGACCCTGTGGCCGTGTGGGAGGTGGGACCCCGGGGCCGTGTGGGAGGGGGGACCCCGGGGCCGTGTGGGAGGTGGGATCCCTGGGGCCGTGTGGGAGGTGGGACCCCGGGGCCGTGTGGGAGGTGGGACCCGGTGGCCGTGTGGGAGGGGGGACCCCGGGGCCGTGTGGGAGGTGGGACCCCGGGGCCCTGTGGGAGGGGGGACCCCGGGGCCGTGTGGGAGGTGGGACCCCGTGGCCGTGTGGGAGGTGGGACCCTGTGGCCGTGTGGGAGGTGGGATCCCTGTGGCCGTGCGGGAGGTGGGACCCCAGGGCCCTGTGGGAGGTGGGATCCCTGTGGCCCTGTGGGAGGTGGGATCCCGTGGCCCTGTGGGAGGTGGGATCCCTGTGGCCGTGCGGGAGGTGGGACCCCGTGGCCCTGTGGGAGGTGGGATCCCTGGGGCCGTGTGGGAGGTGGGACCCCGGGGCCATGTGGGAGGTGGGATCTCTGGGGCCGTGTGGGAGGTGGGATCCCTGTGGCCGTGTGGGAGGTGGGACCCCGTGGCCCTGTGGGAGGTGGGATCCCTGTGGCCGTGTGGGAGGTGGGATCCCCATGGCCGTGTGGGAGGGGGGACCCCGGGGCCGTGTGGGAGGGGGGACCCCGGGGCCCTGTGGGAGGTGGGATCCCTGGGGCCGTGTGGGAGGTGGGACCCCGGGGCCCTGTGGGAGGTGGGATCCCTGGGGCCGTGTGGGAGGTGGGACCCCGGGGCCGTGTGGGAGGTGGGACCCTGTGGCCGTGTGGGAGGGGGGACCCCGGGGCCGTGTGGGAGGTGGGATCCCGGGGCCGTGTGGGAGGTGGGACCCCGGGGCCGTGTGGGAGGTGGGATCCCTGGGGCCGTGTGGGAGGTGGGACCCCGTGGTTGTGTGGGAGGTGGGACCCCGTGGCCGTGTGGGAGGTGGGACCCCGTGGCCCTGTGGGAGGTGGGATCCCGTGGCCGTGTGGGAGGGGGGACCCGTGGCCGTGTGGGAGGGGGGACCCGTGGCCGTGTGGGAGGGGGGACCCGTGGCCGTGTGGGAGGGGGGATCCCCATGGCCGTGTGGGAAGGGGGACCCGGGGCCGTGTGGGAGGGGGGATCCCCATGGCCGTGTGGGAGGGGGGATCCCCATGGCCGTGTGGGAGGTGGGACCCCGGGGCCGTGTGGGAGGGCGGACCCGTGGCCGTGTGGGAGGGGGGACCTGGGGCTGTGTGGGAGGGGGGACCCGGGGCCGTGTGGGAGGGGGGACCCCGGGGCCGTGTGGGAGGGGGGACCCGGGGCCGTGTGGGAGGAGGATCCCTATGGCCGTGTGGGAGGGGGGACTCGTGGCCGTGTGGGAGGGGGGATCCCCATGGCCGTGTGGGAGGGGTGATCCCCATGGCCGTGTGGGAGGGGGTACCCTGTGGCCGTGTGGGAGGTGGGACCCCGGGGCCGTTTGGGAGGTGGATCCCCATGGCCGTGTGGGAGGGGGGACCCGTGGCCGTGTGGGAGGGGGGATCCCCATGGCCGTGTGGGAGGGGGGACCCCGGGGCCGTGTGGGAGGTGGGACCCTGTGGCCGTGTGGGAGGTGGGACCCCGGGGCCGTGTGGGAGGTGGGATCCCTGTGGCCATGTGGGAGGTGGGACCCTGTGGCCCTGTGAGAGGTGGGATCCCTGTGGCCATGTGGGAGGTGGGACCCCGGGGCCCTGTGGGAGGTGGGATCCCTGTGGCCCTGTGGGAGGTGGGATCCCGTGGCCCTGTGGGAGGTGGGATCCCTGGGGC